CACACATATACAACAGGTAAGGTTTTTTTTTTTTTCTTTTTAATATACAACATGATGATTAATTACTATTCATTAAGTGGAAGTAGAGCATCACAAAGGCTTCATTTTCATCTTCACATTAAGTAGGCTGAGGAGGAGGGGGAAGAGGTTGGTTGAGCTGTCTCAGGGGTGGCAGAGGTGAGGCGGTGGAAGGAGACGCAGGAACATTTGGTGTAACTTACAGGAACACATCGTTATTACTGTCTGACATTTTTGCTTATTCATCTCTCTAAAAATGTTTCTATATGGTACTGATCCTTCTTCCACCACTTGCTTTAGTTTCAGTGCCCATATCATAAAAGGGTCGATGTTGTAAAAGAAGTCAAAGCAGTCTTGAAATAATTGCCAGACTCTAATTCTGCCAGGCTGTCTAATGTCAGTTTGTTTTCTGGCATTGCTTCTTCCATGTCTTCTTCCTCATTGTTTGTCATTGGTTCGGAAGCATTCATCTTCATCAAGTTACCTTCTTTTAATTCATCTGGTGTGGCATCTATCAGCTCTTAAATTTATGAAGATCCACATCTTGGAAAAAAACCACATATAAGTGGGCCTGTCCAGTTGAAACTTGTGTTGTTCAAGTGTCAACTGTACTGTTTTCTCATTAGCTGGGCTTGTTTTGCTTGAGGGCAAATCTTTACAAATAACCCCAGTGCTAGCATGGTATACATTGGGCTGAATGAACGAATGAGCATGGGGTCTCCTTTTGCTATAGCAGGCCTTGGACTACTAGCAAGGAAAGAGCTAGTAGCTGAGGTATACAGGGATAGGCTGGCAGTAGCAGGACTTGTGTAAAACCTGCCAGGGTGTGCACAGTTCAGTTTGTGACCACAAACTTAATCTTAGGCATAAAAACACACAATCAAATTGAGAAGGAAAAGCCATCTTTCCTAGGCAATGTTTACCCTGTATCTCCTAGAATCTAGATTTGGTCAAGAGCTCCACTAACAGGTCAACTTGACTTACATATTGTGGTAGATTTTCTTCCCCAAAAGCGTCACGGAAGTGTTTCTGTTCCCACAAGCTCTTTCAGAACCTTGCTAGTCTCCCCTCAAGAGATGGAGCCTATATTCCACCCCACCCTTCACCCCTGGCCTGGGCAGGCCTTTGTGACTGCCTAGTCTATGAGAGGAGGGTAGAAGAGATGCTCAGTGACTTCTCAGGCGAGGTCACAAAAGGTGATACAGCTACTGCCTTGACCTGCTGGGATGTCTACCCTGGAAATCCAGCCACCATGTGAGAAAGAAGCACTAGTCACACAGGCTCCCAGCCCTTGGCTCTGCTGAGCTCCCAGTTGACCCAGTCCTGACTTGCAGCCAAGTGAGTAAGCCATCTTGGGCATGGAACCTTCAACCCTCAGTTGAATTGCCTCAACAAATGGCTGTGATGCCAAGGACCTCTACCAAGCCTTGATTGAACTGCAGATTCATGAGCAAAAGAAATATGATTATTATGCCACTGAATTGTAGGATAGTTTATTATAGAACATTTATTATTCTTACCCTGAACTGCAGCATTTCCCAGGATGTGGGACTGTGAATACTAAATCCAGGGCAGTCCTGTGCAAACTGGGATGGTTGGTCATGTTTACCACTGGACTACCAGAAATATACACAATCTGTTGACCATCCAAGTTCTGTTCATGAAAGGAAATTGAGATTAATGTTCCTGAGATAGAGATAATGTGGTTCTCTACATGAAAAATAATTTGGTGGTAATATTTTTAAAGTGAATTTCACTCTCACGCTCCACTGTAGAGTAACATGGTCCAAGTAGATAAGCCAAAACTCAAGATGTGGAGATGGCAGCCACTCATAGGTATGGGGCTTTGTGTTTTTCACTTCTTTACCAGGCAGATTCCTGCCTCAGAGCTACTGCACTAGGTTTACTCTGCCTGGAACACTCTTGTCCCAGATTTTTCTTTTAATTATCTCATTTATTTCCTTATTAAAGGCCTCTTTCCACTCAAATGTAAGCCCCTTGGGGTAGGGATAGAGAACTATATTCATTCTAGTCTTGGTTGTATTTCAGGACTTAACAGTGCCTGGGAAGTAGGAGGTGCTCAAAAAGTGCTTTTTATAAATGTTGAAAGAATGAATGAGTTGGGAGGTCACTTACAGGTTATGCAGATCTCCAACTCTCACCATAGCAGACATTTCTTCTGTTGAGAATCCTGACAGATGGTCAATCCTCTCCAATACTCAGGAAGGTGTTTAAACCTTCATGGTGGAGATTACCCTGTCTCACAGAGAAGTTTATTCCATTTTTCAAAAAGTTCTCAATGCAATATTAAGAACTATCTCCCTATAATTTTTAATGATGGCTCTCCAGATCTTTCATCCTCCTGCCTGCGTGCTTCCTGAAGGAAAGCTCTAGCTCGCCATTCTCCTGTCTCCTGGTGATGAAGCAATTCATCAAGCATTCCTTGGCCACAGATGCAGCATCCTCGTGACTGCTCATTTGGTGACTAGTGTGGCAAGCAAATCTCCAACCCTTTGTGGACCGATAGGCCTCCATGCAAACTGAGACAGCACTGTTATTTCAGTGTCCTGAGGACCTCAATATATCTTCAGGCAACCTGAATTTGTAAAAATTAACAAAGAATTTTTTCAGGAGGTGAACTTGTTTAAATCCAAAATGATAGAAGAAAAAAAAAAACACCCTTCTAAACTGACTGAAGTACCATGGACTGTTGAAAGAACTAACAGATCTGTCCTGGAGGAAGTGAGCCAGAATGCTCCTTGGAGGCGAGAATGGCCAGACTTCTTCTCACCTACTTTGGTCATGTTGTCAGAAGGGACCATTCTTTGGAGAAGGATGTCATGCTTGGTAAGGTGAGGGTCAACGAAAGAGGGGAAGGCCTTCAACGAGATAAGACTGGCACGGTGGCTGTGACGACGGGCTCAAGTATAGCAGGGATCATGGAGCTGGTACGGGACCGGGTGATGTTTTGTTCTGCTGTGCGTAGGGTCGCTATGAGTCGGAAAAAACTCGACGGCATGTAACAACAAACTGACTTTTAAGGCGTTCTGGTGGTGCAGTGCTTGAGGGATTTGACTGCTAACCAGACCAGCTGCTCTGCAGAAGGAAGATGAGGCAATCTACTTCAGTAAAGATTTGTTGTTGTTGTTATGTGCCGTCGAGTCGGCCCTGACTCATAGCGACCCCTCCTTGGGTTTCCGAGGCAGTATCACTATGAAAGTAGGATTGCCCAACCTTCCTTCCGAGGAGTGGCTGGTGGGTTTGAACCACCAGCCTTCTGGTTATCAGTCAAGTGCTTTTTACCACCTTGGAAAGCCAATGGGGGTTGCTAGTCATAATCAACTCAATGGCAGTGAATAATTGGTGGGTGGTGTAGGGGTGAAGGCATTTAGCTGCTACCCAAAAGGTTGGTGGTTCAAACTCACCAGCTGCTCCATGGAAGATGAGGCAGTCTGCTCTGTAAAGGTTTGTTGTTGCTGTTGTTGCTATGTGCCATCAAGTCATACTCGATTCATAGCAAACCTCCTTGGGTTTCCGAGGTGGTATCACTATGGAAGTAGATTGCCCGACCTTCCTTCCAAGGAGTGGCTGGTGGGTTTGAACCGCCAACCTTCTGGTTAGCAGACAAGTGCCTTAGGCACTACGCTACCAGAGCTCTTCTGTAAAGATTTACAGCCTTGGAAACCCAATGGAGGCCACTTTGAGTCAGAATTGACTTGATGGCAGTGAGTTATCTCTACCTTTACATGAATTTGGATGCATCAGGATTGGGGTTGTCTCCCCAGAGATCCTATTTAGCTACATCATAAAAGATCATCTCTGATCCTGAACTACACTCGACTGATACAACATGATGGACAGTGGTTCTGCTCCACCAAGTTAGAACCTTCCAGGGCAGAGGCTCCACTTCAAGAATTGACATGTTCTGCCTCCTGAATGTGGGTAAGGATGCCCAGGAGCCCTGGGGAGCAACTTGGGAATCTGGAGCACATGGCGTTTTGTCCTGGCCTGGGAGGCACTGTATGTGCCCCGGGGTCATGTTCTGCAGAAATATGCTCTCAAGGTGTGGCCTAAATAATAATATTAAAAATAACCAAACAAGATGAAACTTCAAGGGTCAGTCTCATTGTGGCTATTGTTTTTGCACCAGAAACTTGTGTCTTGGAACTGGCAGAAGTCTTGATGCCAGTGCTGCTCTGCCTTTGTGACTTAAGTGGCAGCTCTGGACACCAAGAAACAATACTTTACCACAAGCTCTTAATAAGGATGGAGAAAACCTCCGAGTGACATCTGGAACTTCCCGGATGTTCCCTCTCATTTGGTCTCTCTGGGGATCAGCCTCCGTCTTTTTTGTTTTAATTAATGCAACAAACTAGCCTCTGCTTTTCGAAGGAAGCTATGAGGGAAACTTTTCTGCCAAGTCTTGAGTCCTTGTGACACTCAAGAACACGGGCCAGGCCCTTGTGTAGGTTAAGGAAGTCCATGAAGAATAAAGATTATAGGGAAACAGACTACCTTTCTTTACAAGGCCTTGTTTTACATCCCTGAAATCTCAGATTTAGCTAGTACAATGAAGTCCTGTTGTAGAGAGAGCTGGCCTTTTATCACCACTTAAAATCTAATTAATCCATATTGAAGCACAAAGATTTCTGTTGTATTTTAGGGTGAGGGGTCATAGAGCCCTCTTTGTTCATCCTTTGACTTATAATCATCAAGCATTGGGGATAGAATTTTACTAAGCACATTGGAAGGTAACAGATCAAATCTTTATCAGAAAGCCTAACTCATAGTTTTAACAAAGTCCTTCGTCCTTTACATGAAACACTATATTCAAAAAGAACAAAAACGCATTTCAGAGTACCCAAAGAGTTAATGGTGACAGCTTATATTCCAGGCAGCATAGAAGCTAGATCGTCACACTACCGTCAACCACAAGACAGCAGCTCTTATAGAAGTGGCAAAAAGCTTTCAGCTTTGTTACGATGGCTTTAGTCTTTAGAATAGCAATGCAACTGGTTGGACTTTTATTATCTTTGTTGGGATGGGTTTTATCCATTATTACAACTTATTTGCCACATTGGAAAAACCTCAACCTGGAGTTAAATGAGATGGAGAACTGGACTATGGGACTCTGGCAAACCTGTGTCATCCAAGAGGAAGTGGGGAGGCAATGCAAGGACTTTGATTCTTTCTTGGCCTTGCCTGCTGAACTCAAGATCTCCAGGATTTTAATGTTTCTGTCAAATGGGCTTGGACTGGTGGGCCTGCTGGTCTCTGGGTTTGGCCTGGACTGCCTGAGAATTGGAGAGAGACAACCAGATCTCAAGAAGCAACTGCTAATCCTGGGAGGAGTCCTGTTGTGGGCCTCAGGGATCACAGTGCTCATTCCAGTCTCCTGGGTTGCCCACGTGACGGTTCAGGAGTTTTGGGATGAGACCATTCCTGAGATTGTCCCCAGGTGGGAGTTTGGGGAAGCCCTCTTTATTGGCTGGTTTGCTGGATTTTCTCTTGTACTAGGAGGGTGTCTGCTTAACTGCGCAGCCTGCTCAGCCCAAGCCCCTCTAGCTGCGGGTCACTACACAGTGGCAGAAATACAAACTCAGTGTTCGTGCTTGGAAAAAGGAACTGCAGATCCTAAAGTATAAGAATTAGACAAGGCCAGAGAGAGCTTTCCTCTTAAATATGATGACAATGGTGTCTTTGTTACGTAGCTAAATCTGTGCTAATTTTTTTTTTATTCACTAACTATTTTTTCTTTGATTACATTGTCCTTTCTCCCCATTACCTGGAGAAATCAGAATGAAAAAAAATACATTTAAAAGAAAACTATATAGTAAGGATTATATACATATGAACAAAAATTACCTTGATCTGTTTTTGTAAATCAAAATGTTGTGGTGGTTGTCCAATATGTGCACTTTTAAACTTTAATGTGCTAACTTTTACATTAGAAAGGTTTTTTTTTGTTGTTGTTGTTCATGTTGGTAGCTAGAAATAGTTAAGTTTCCTCAAGAAAATGTTAACCTGAAATCTTTTAAGTATAAGCAGAACCATATGCTATGCCAATCCTACAGTGGTATTTTCAAAACAATTACTTTTGTCTTCTTTGAATAGAGATGGTTTATGTTTAGGAAACTATGAGGCCCCCTTTGTGACAGGATATTATGGGACTGAAGATTTTCAGTCCACTGTAACATTTTCCAATCTGAATACTTTCTACAACTGGCCAATCTGATCTCATCTTTTTGCTCAAATGTTTCATACTTGAAAAACAATCCCCGAATTATTTTTCTTGATATACAGATACTGAGTTTATTTGCCCTAATGAAAACTTTAATTTCATCAATTATAAATTTTAAGTATGAGAATATATACTTTTGTGGTGAACAGAGATGTTGATTTCTAACCTACAAAGTCCTATTGCTTAACTTTTCCAAAACATATTTAAGCAAAGCAAAGCAAAAAAAAAAAAAAAAAAATCCAAAGAATAACAAAACAAGCTTTCTGGACACGTGCAAGAATTTGACAGAAAGGCATGTAGATAAACAGATTTGCTGTTGTTCAGTTATTGTTTCATGTGTCATATGTAGCCTAAGGGATTTTTTTTTAACAGACTTGATTTAAGTACTAGAGAGATTTCTGGTAAGATTGATTTATTTGGTTAAGAAATACTTTTCTTAAGCCTATTTTTTTAAAAAAAGGATAGCATCCAGTATTACCACAACATACATACTGAAATGTGAGAACTACAGCACAGGAAAATCTGGCAGGTGCATTCAGTAAGATACGAAGCGGGAGGAGCTGAACAAAAACGGTCAATTAAACACTTTGAATTTAGACTAAATCTTTGTCACAAAGGTTGGAAACTACATAAAAGCCATTTATACTTTAACAAAGAAAGCAGAATTATTCCTACTTCATTTTATTTCAGTGACTAACTGCTTTCTACAAAATTCGGCCCATAGGACACAAATATGATCTTGGCCACACCTTGGCATTAGTGGCTTGTGACATAATTTCCCTATCCTTGTCTGAAATCTATTCAACATAGATCAAACAATAGCAACTCTGGCAAGAATCCTCCTATACACACAATGAACAAAAAAAATTTCTGAGCTCTGCAAGTGATAACTCAAGTGTCACACGGTCCTTTTCACAGCAGCAGGCATTAGCTTGGCTAAAGCTCACAGGACTCTACAATGACCTTAGTATTTAGAACTATGGCACAATTAGTTGGGATTTCATTATCTCTGCTGGGATGGGTTTTAACCTGTCTTACCAACTACCTGCCACATTGGAAAAACCTCAACCTGGAGTTAAACGAGATGGAGAACTGGACTATGGGACTCTGGCAAACCTGTGTCATCCAAGAGGAAGTGGGGAGGCAATGCAAGGACTTTGATTCTTTCTTGGCCTTGCCTGCTGAACTCAAGATCTCCAGGATTTTAATGTTTCTGTCAAATGGGCTTGGACTGGTGGGCCTGCTGGTCTCTGGGTTTGGCCTGGACTGCCTGAGAATTGGAGAGAGACAGCCAGATCTCAAGAAGCAACTGCTAATCCTGGGAGGAGTCCTGTTGTGGGCCTCAGGGATCACAGTGCTCATTCCAGTCTCCTGGGTTGCCCACGTGACGGTTCAGGAGTTTTGGGATGAGACCATTCCTGAGATTGTCCCCAGGTGGGAGTTTGGGGAAGCCCTCTTTATTGGCTGGTTTGCTGGATTTTCTCTTGTACTAGGAGGGTGTCTGCTTAACTGTGCAGCCTGCTCAGCCCGAGCCCCTCTAGCTGCGGGCCGCTATGCAGCAGCAGAAGTGCAAGATCATTGTCAACAGCTAGAGATGAAAAACCCCAACCTGAAAGTCTAAGACAGAAGGTGTCAGTGGTGTCTACTCTTCAGCAGAGACTTGCTCAACTCAGGATTTGGTAGGAGTTCCTGCTAACAGTCACCCATTCTCTGTGCTTTCAATTTTGTAAAATGTAATTTTTTCTGTGGCAATTAGGTTCTTAAACTGTAATTTCTTTCTGAGGCTGGTAAACCATTTTTATCTTCCACTTGGAGACCAAAACCAATCAAGGCTTAGTAGTAATCATACTTATTACTGTCGATGAGTTTTCTCAATTTTAAAATAGGTTCAGTGATTGCACAGAACTGGTAAATAAAACATTATATTAGTATTTACATCTTTAAAGGTGTTATTCATACAGAGATGAATCATGTTGGCAATTGGAAATGTTACTGCTAATCATTTACTTCTTTCAAGTGCTTGAGATAACCTATTATAATGAACTTGAACTCTTGTTGCATATTTAAAATGCATGACATCTGATTATACTACATAACAGCTTGCTCTTTAAAAGCTGGGGAGGTGAAACACATGGGGCACATCATCTCTCCTGTAATCAAAGACCTCAGAGCCTGTATGAAGCCTTTTCCAAAAGTTAGACACAGACATTAATGCCTTATTTACTGTGTCAGAAGCAGAGAAGGAAAATCTTGTGGTTTTGAAGATTTGTGTAAAATCTGCAGCAAAAATGTGGTTTTGTTTCTATGTCCTGTGATCTGCATTTCATGGCCAATATCATCACCTCCCATGGCCAGGGAGCAGCCACAGGGGGCACCATGAGCTAGGAACTATGTGTGGGATGCTGCCCAGTGTGGCTCTGAGCACACTGACAGGTGTGGCCATTCAATGACAGACAGCATGGCATATTCTGGGGCCCTTCATTTCACTTGCACAATGAAAATACTCCATCTTCCCCCCCCCCCCCAAATCAGCAATATAATTGTCCAACCAAGAACTATTCACAGCAAACTGCTGTCTCGGAGAATGCTTCGTGGAAGATTTTATATCTGCTCAGTACATGGTTCAAGTAAACTTGTGTTTGGGCCAATCAGGGAAAGCAACTGAACAATAAACGACACTGAAATAAAGTAGAAGGCAATATGTATCTTTGTTTAAAAAAAACCCACTGATTTTTTTCCCACCCACGAACACATGGAAAGTGCAGAAACCAAAGTTAATCTATATGATGTATTTGTATACTTTTTACAAACAAAACAAATTAAAACAGAGACATGTTCAGAATTTAACCTGATTAAATATTTAGTTCAGTCCTGAGCTTTTGATATTTAATATATTATAGAGCAATAGCAAAAAAAAAAAAAAATATTAAATTTATTTGATTTGCATGCTACGAGTTTCAGCTAAACTTTTTGTTCATTTGGCTAGCAATATTCCTTTTGTACCTGTAACATTTAGATTCTGATATATAAAATTGTAATAACATACTGGTAATTCAAAGTTGAGAACTAAACATTACATTCTTTTCATTCTGTGCAGTATAAATTCTACCTTTAAAAACAGTATTTATAATATTAAAATTCATATTTGTCCATATGGTTTTCTGATCAAGTTATTAAAATGTTTCATCACTGTGAATCACTTGGGTTAGTACAAATATGACTGTTAAAAGCTGCCTATGAATACATAACACTATTGCTGATTTTTACAAGTGTGGACAAAGATTATATTAAAATAAATTTGTCTCACATATTAGAAATGAGCAAATTTTGCAAAATCAAACGTACAGAACCTTGGTCCCAACTATTAACTACCAGCCTGAGACAGATTTTATTCTTTAACACTTGTCTGAAACTTTTTGTATTACAAAAAGTTTACAGCTAATCTGATGAAGATTTATAAAGCTGTAAATATTCCAATATAGCCTCTTCTATGTCAAACATTTAAAATGGCCAGAACCGAACTATATATTAAACAGAACATAAATAAGACCGTAAATAAATAAATGAAGAAAATAAAATCGTACGGTACAACTACACATAACTCTATAAACATTTTCATGGCCAAACTAAGAAGCTGAGAACAGCTGACCTTCATTTAACTCTACATTAAATAAACTTCAAAATGTCTGTCTTTCACATTTGACCTTGACAAGGATGAATGGTATTCTTGCTCTAGTTTTCTCTAGTCATCTAAAGAATGGATTGGGCAGCCTTGAGGGACTGGACTCAATCAATTCCCTAGCTTGGTTTCTATTCAAAGTAGTGTCATGTCCAGTTGTATCTTCAGAGGCATTTGCATATAAGTGGTGGGACACATGAAAACCCATGCTCCATCGTCTTCATTAATTAAAGTTCTAGGCTCAGAAATTGCTTAATTTGAATTTGATTCTGATAGAAAGAACTTGTGAATATTTAAAATCTCAAAATATTTATAATTGCTTTCAAGAAAATAAAAGTCTTGCTACTGAGGATTCTTTCTTGCTTAGGAACAAAGCTTTCTTGTAAGTGGCTCATTCTTCTAAGATGATTTTTGCATTTCTAAAAAATTTTTAAAATTTAGTTTAGGTGGTTAACCAAAAATTGCTTCCTCCAGTATAAGAGAGTGAGTAATAAGCACACCTTAAATTACATAAATATTTACCTTAGAAGCCTTTATCCTGGCAGAGATACACAGGATTTGTTTCTTTGAAGTGTCTGGGTCAGAGAAGCTACAATATGAAACTGGAGGACACCTTATTAGTTTAAAATCTCTAAATGTGTTTATCCAAAATAGGTGTTTGCTTGTTTGTTTGCCTGACAACTATTTAGCGTATATTTTAAATTAATAAGGACCCCACTCATGTTCTTCCCTTTGCCTCTGAACTCTTCACCATAAATAATAAATGGAATTGCCTAAAAATGAGAGCTGCAAAGTAATCTCTAATAAAAGTTAGCAGTCTGCTTGATAAAGTGTTTTCTTTTTTGGCGACTCTGGAATCTCCCAAGATTCCTTTTCCTCTACGCCTGGTTTCATCAAATGAGTGCTGATGTATTGCCCTCCATCTCACCAGGACTGTCTGTCCTTGGAACACTGGCCCCAGCATTCTTCTACTGGGCACGATCCCCACACCTAAGGCACAACATGACAGATGTACGCCAGAGACTCACATTTGAACACTTGTGTAAATTCAGGTTGAATCTGAAGCAGAAGCTGCTCATCTGATGATTTTAGTGTATTTTAGGGTAACTGCTTTCCTCCTCTAGTCTCCCTTACCCACAATGCAATAAATCACAAGATCTTTCATGGCGCCAGGAGTACTACTCCTTTACATTTTTATATTCTCGTACTCAGCATTTCATGTTTTTGTTTTCTTTAGACAAATATAAAAGGACAAAAAGGAAACTATTTTAAGGAAACAGTGTTCTACCACAGGTGATGAAAATGAAGACGGCTCCTATTTCAGGTGGACTTGGAACTCTGAAGTGAAGCTTATATTCACGTTTAACTTCAAGATGAAAGAGCTGCACTTTAGTACAAAAATGTCACATGGCACTGCTGCCATCTTCACAGTTGATTCACAAGAAGATAAAGGAAAAGCAAAAGCCACCTTCTGCTGGACAAGTTATTTCTCAACAGCCAGCTCAACAGGACATATCCTGGTATTGCCTCTAGTCCATTTTTAGAAAATAAAGCCCAGAGGCAATGCACACATACCGTACATTTGTGTACCAGATTATTTCATTTTGGTTATCTGATTTTTTTGAAAAAAGAAAAAAACATAAAAGAATTACATTCAAGGTATTTTACAAATTAGTATGTTGAAAATCTGATGTGAAATAAAAGCTCTTTAAGAGTTGACAGTTATGTTACAAACAAAACAAAACAAATGGTCACTTTTTCACCTTCCCTAAGAAAGTGAGCAGGTAAAAAAATAATTTCTTAAAAGATGTAATTTATACATCATCAGCCGGCAGGGATGGGATGCTTATCTTTGCTCTGGTGAAATAAGCAATCTTCTCCCTAGAGTCAGAGATGAAAGATAAACCAACTTTAGTATTAGGTTGAAAATACTCTATGACCATTGCTGAGAATTCCAGTTATGTCTCTACAAGCCCAGATATTACATCTTTCCTTAGAACTCCATTTGAGATCGAGATTGTCTTTGTCTCTTAGAGGTAGAATGTAAAGGTAAACAGCAGCTCTGACTGATGGTAAATCGCGTATTGACTCAGCAAGTTCCCCTCCAGGATCTCCAATGTATGTCAGTTTTCAAACCATTAGGGGTTCAGCCTAGATATGAACATTTCTCATCCACGTAGAAGAAGATTCAAAATGGCCCAAATCCTACATGGACACTTCTCAGTGACCTCCCAGAAAGGTGCAAGATATCAGGAAAATTCTTTAAAATCAGGACTGTGCTAACAACCACATGATAGATGGTTATCATGACTCATGACATGAGAAGAAGGAGCCTGACTGTCTTCAAGGTAAAAAACGTCTTGCATCCAAAGCTGAGATGAGTAGAAACAACCTGACGGGGAGAAGCTGAGGGAAAATAAGGGGGTAGAATGGTTTTCAGAGGTTAGGGGAGTGTTAAAAATAAAATGTCTAGGATTGTACAGCTGCCAAAGACTGAAGCAGTGTATCTATTTTTCTACAAAATAGTCACACAGTACACAGAGTTCCAACAACACATAGTGCATATGTGTTGCAACACGAAGGGCATGGATGGAGTTGTAAAGAATAAAGCACTGGTTCCTCTTGGGGAACTGAGAGTCTAGCTGATAAAATAAGTGTGGGGTTAGAAACAAGAACTAGGATAGAGAAGAAAAGGATGATAGAAATGAAAAATGGGGATCTTCGCCTTGAACATAGCCTGCAGATGGGTGTTCTTTGACTCACATGGTATTTTTATAAACACTTGAAATAGTTGCCACTGTTGACATTTGGGCTATCACCCAAAAAAAATCACTGATTTCGGATTTCCCTTGAAAAATCAGAAGGACAGAACACTGGGCTCTTCGTTCCATTTGAATAAACAGCTGGTATGGAGCCAGGCCTGCATGTTAAGCAGAATGCCCCAGCCTACACCACTCCCCACTCTCCCCAACCCAGCTGGGTATCAGTAGCCAGGCATTGCCCTCATGTGGTGCCACTGCCACATTTTGAGGGCAGTCTGTCTTATCCTGGCCTATCACACTTATTCTTATCACCTGTCTGGGTTTAGGTCTTAAGGGGAGCTGGGAGTATTTATGAATTTTTTTTTTTGTTTTGAGTTTTAGTAACAATTGGAAATTGTATAAATTCCAATACTGGACAATGTTGGTTACTCTTCAAAGTGACCACACACCAAAGGCATGAAGAGACTCCTCTCACCGATTTGCAGTTCTAAAAGTAGTAGCATTCCCTAAAAGCTGTAAGAATGGTTTAGCAGAATAGAGGCAGGAAAAACCCAACTCTTTAATATAAAACGTTACACAAAAAATAAAGTCAAATATCCATTATGTTTCAGTGCCCCCTCTCTCCATTGGAGTTATTCAGTCTGGCACTCACCCCTAACTTCTCCTTGCTGTGTACTTCCACCTGGCACCAAATCCCATCCTTTCTCAACTATGAAAAACCAAAACCAAACTCACTGCCCTCGAGTCGGATCCGACTCACAGCAACCCCTCCTTGGGTTTCCAAGGCAGTATCACTACGGAAGTAGATTGCCCAACCTTCCTTCCGAGGAGTGGCTAGTGGGTTTGAACC